CTGTGGACGGACGGATACTAGTAGTGAGATTGAGGAGCCTCAATGAAAGGGATGCCTAACCCAGATGGTCGGAACAATGACCCCAACCTCTCATAGGACCATGAATATATATGCATACTTTTTCAATAAAAAATAATATTATAAAAAACATTATAAACAAAAGTATAATCCCCCATATATATAATATTCGAATGTGCTGACCCTATGAGCTTCCACAATGCTTTGGATTCGATCAAAAAAGTTATGCGTCACGTAGGAAATAGACTCAGTCTAGAAAAATATATTCTCGAATGCAAGTGCAAGTGGATTGAGTCCTGCGAATATGACAACAAGAAAAAATATACTTGGTATATCCTTAAGTCTATTTTAAACCCAAGAAGAGACTCAGTCTCTTTGCATTGGAGTGAATTATGTTTCTTTTAGACCATCTCCAACCCTTATCTCGATTTTAGTGTAGAATTCACTAATCATTAGAGTAGAGTTAACCAACAGTCAAAGTTCATCTCCAATCATTCATGCTACATTTTACTCTACATTAATATTTGTATTTTATTCTAATTATTTTAAATTAATTTTAATAAAAAAAAAATATAGTTGAATGAAATATATTACCTTACATATATTTGGTTATTTAAATTATCAATATATAATTGAAAAAAATACAATTAAATACAAAATTATTTATATCAATATTATTTTATTCTAAGAAGATTAATCAAGTATTTTCTACAACATCAAGAAATGTGTAGCCGTTCTCAATAGATAATCTAAGTTATAGGTCTGTTACTATACGAATATGTTAAGATTATTATTTTACTAACAATATATATATATATATAGATGTCAAGATTATTTTATTTAGCATTAATATTAACAATAAATAAGTTTAAAATAAAATTGTAATTAAAATGGCAATTTTCAATAATATATAGATTTATATTATAAAGATGTTATATATAAATATTACATAAAAACATTATATATAACAAAAAAATTTAGTGATGCAAGTCTACAAAAAAATTATATGATTGATATTAAAAAAGGAAAAAAAAAATAAAATGAAACCATTCAGCTTACATGAGTACTGCGCTACATCAGACAAAATATTGTAGATATATTTCATGTGGCGCATGAATATAGCGCAACGTTGGAGAATGAATTTTGCACAACTCCAGCGTGATGAGCAAATCTGGCAAAGCATTGGACATGATTTTATGTAGTTCTATCCATGTCATCCAAGACTTGAGCCTTTTTACGTGTCTGTTAAGAAAAAGTAGACCAAAGCATTGTGGATGCTGGCAAGCTTTGGAATCTTTTGTAGCAAATTTTCATGCTATGTCATTTGACTTGAATGAATTTTTACTTCCAACACGAAAATAAATAGGCTTACAATTAGAAATGTCAAACGGGATAGCCCTAACGAACTTCGGGCTAAACGGCCGAGGCTTAGAAACCTGATTTAAACGGACTACAAATAAAGTGAACTAACCCTAACTCTAGTGGGCCTCGGGCTAAACTGGCTATGCGGGTTGTATTATTAATAATAATAATATCAAAATGTATAAAAAAATAAAAAGAATTAAAAAATATATAAAGAATGCCTAGTTAACGTTGTTTTCAACGGCTATTTGGTATATACCGCTCTATATATAACAACTACACATCATATATAAACATACATTACAAATTCTTTAATAACTATTTTTCTCTCTACTGAAAAAATATATATATATATATATATATATCCGAACTATTACTTACAATTAACATTTTACTACATATTTTGTACGCTTTGAAAATTTTCACGATATTGTATCATTATAAGTTCTATCACTATGTTTCGTGTGTTAGGTCTCAGGTGGAATATTAGTCGTTCAGATGATCAAAGATCGTAAAGACATTGTTGAGAAAAAGTGACGTAAATGTTTTGATGTGAAGTACAATAACAATATTGATAATATTATCTTTCAAAATCATAATAATCCGTTACCCCTCATACTTACATGTGAAGTAGAATAACAAAATTGTAATATCCAAAGAATCTAAGAACATATTACTTACTTGCTGCAAACATTTATACTGCTCAACTTTAGTTAAACGGGCCAGCCCTAACGGGGCTCGGGCTAGCCCTAGCGGACTTCGGGCTAAATGGTCTTGGCCTAAAAAGTTCTGATTTAAACAGGCTACCAATAAAGGCACTAACTCTGTTTTTTTTTCTGGGCTAAACGAGCCGGCCTTTCGGGCAAAGACCGTTTAACATATCTACCTAGAATATCCACATATATATTGGATATTTACTATCATTTTTTGTGAGCATTAATTATGTTTTAATATTATTTCTATTGTAGACGTGGTTTACAAGACATAATTTTTTCATCTTTCTTTTATAATTATAAAA